CTGCGAATCTCAAAACTACTTGATTCACTACATCAAGTGCAAAGTGAATCTGGCACATGGGAAGATGCGGCCGCAGCGTTTTTAACGAAAATTGGTGATAAACGTGGTGCAGAACGTATGAAACAACATCAATGTCGCGATATGTTGCAATCGACAGCGATAGGAACGACGACTGGAAGTGAGCGAATAAGCGCGGAACGTTCGACGAGAAACAGAAGCAGTCGAGAGTTGTCACCTCGAAGACGTTCTCCCAGCCATCTGCATCATCGTCATCACAGACCGTCGTCAGCATCGCTTTCGTCTTCTTCAAGACATCGGTTAATACTTGCTTATTTATTTAATGAACAAATAAGTATCACAACTCACTACGAGTTTATGCCTCTCTTTCACCATCAATATCGCAAATATCACATTCTAACTTCCTTGACATCCTCATCTCTGCACACAGCCATCGATAGCAGCCTACGGAATTATCCATCTTCACGAGATTCTAATCCCGATTGTTGATTTGTCGATCATATAGGGCTGATCTTTCAGTGATATATAATCTCAAATTGTTCAATGATTTCTACTCTTTGAATTGGTTATTATGTCTGCTTTATTTCTTTTCTTTTATAATCTTAAAAGATTTCACTCATCTTTTCACGTACTTGAGAATTGCTTCAAAATGTCGAGAATTCAGAAACAATTTTTCTTTTTTNTTTTTTCAAATATAACTGTATTCGTCTACTTTGTCATTTATTTCATACGTGTCTCGTATTAAACGATGTCATCCCACAATCTAAATTGAATGAAAAATTTTCTGTTGACAAAGAAATTTTAACAAAAAATTTGAAATATTCGTATTGGAGGATTTTTAAATAATTATCTCAGTTGTTCACAAAATGAATTCTTTTGAGATTGGTGGTTCAGTCTTAGTTGAAGTTGTGAAGTATTATGCAGTCGTCGTCATCGCTGTAATTGTTGTAGAATTGAAAGTGAGCATTCGCATTCATCATCACGAGATACGCGTGCTCATCGCGATACCCGATCTCGAGTACGAACACCCGAAAGCAGTCATCGAAAACGTTACGAGTCGTTCGGTCGAAAGGAGCAGAGAAGTCAAGAGCAACAAAGCAAAAAGAAACATCAGCGAGAATCGCCTTCGACGATCACTTTCGATGAACGAATCGAACAAGAAACTGGAGGTGGTTTGCTGAAGGTGTGGGAGGGGCTGCCTGAAGAGATCGATAGAGAGCTGAGCAAAAATGAGGCGAAAAAGAAGTTACCAACTGATGAGGACATCGATAGAATATTAGCGAAGCGTGCGAAAGTTAGTCATTCTTTAATTGTGTACTGCTCTTTTGTTGCTTCGATTTTGATTTGAAACGATTGTTGAAACGCGTTGAACCGTTTGGAAACAACCGCAAATTTGAGGTAACACGATGTGAAG